CGACAAGTAATTCCGAACGGAGGGAGTAGATGAAATCATATAACCATAACCACTCATGGCAGACAAGTTGGGGCACAGCACGCAGACAAGTTGGGGCACAGCACAGGCCACACAAATAGCTTAAATAAACAAGATCAAACAGACCCCATGAGTCATGGCCTCATGGGTACAATCCGCTCGCTCCGCGCCATGATTCTTTCGTAGCTGCGCCACCCCACAGCTAGAATCAGGCGCGACGCGAGTGGCTGCATTACTAGGACATTCCCAAGTGCGAACATGCTCGACACCGGGTGCGCACTCAACTCGCGCTCTCTTATTGAAAGCAAATCACACAAGTTTAGAAACCAGCAGCACACTCAACTCAAAATAGAAAACGAAATGAAATGAAAAGCAGCACAACAGGAAGAGGAGAGCTGAAAATTACCAGCACACACTGACTGATACAATTTCAGACGGGAGCATCCATGGTATCTATTTCAAGAGGTTGATTTGTTGTGCAGATCTCTTCTTCAAGAAGCTGACTTGGTATGTGGATCTTGTCGCCCAAGATTTCCATTCCCATGAAGGACCATAAGAGCCAGACATTTGTAAGGAACTCCCCGCCTTCACCCAGGCTCTTGGCATGAAGGTAGCCCCTGCATCTACTGGCAGAATAACAGAGCATCTCCACCCACACACCTTGGATCACCTTCCACCTCTCTTCCTCGTCGTGGTGTTCCATGAGCTTCTTTGCGAGTTTGTGCGCATTGGGAACAACATCTCCTGTAAGTTCATCATGTTCCATGAGAAGAATCCTCTGTGCAATGCTTGGTGGATCATTCTGGTCCGTGAGAATGTGCTTGATATCATCGCAAGCAACTGTGAACCAATCTTGTCTCGTCCCTGGCAGTAGCATCTCAGGACACATGAAAAGCAGGTGGGTCATGTAGTTGGATATCTGCCTGCTGCGTAGGATGGTGTCTGGACTTGGACCTTGGGAGGATGTGCTGGGGTGGTGGAAGCAGAGGTCCGTGGCTATGTGCCACACAAGGACAATCTCGTCGAATGGTAGGTTTAGGCTCCAACCGAGTTGTCGTCCCAGCTGAGGGTGCTTCGACAGAGCCTGTTGTCCCCTGAGATTGTTGAATCTTCTGTATGTGGCAGCATCATGTATGCACTCCCACCCATCTTTTATGTACCGGCGAATCAACCCTTCAATCTCAAAGGCCGCAGGCACCTGCCAGTTGTACCAATGCTTGTTGATGTACTCCCTGAAGCACTTGAAGGCAACAAGTTTCATCAAAGTGGTGGGCCGCTTCTTGCGAGCGCAGAAGGACATGAGATTGTGCTGTGAAACCATGTCTGGCCAAGTAGCAGTTTTGCTTCCGACCCTGAGCACAAAGGGTAACAATTGAATCATGACTGTGCAAGCAAACAGGATGTATGATACTATAATGTCGTTCTTATCGTAACCATCCTTGTGACTCTTGGCAAAGAGCACCAGGGAAGCTAATGTCAGGAAAGGAAGCAATAACCATGAGCAGAAGCCAACAAAACTGTTGAGTGATCTTGTTTTGGTGTACAAGGCACCATATGTATCCCTAGCCCATATCCGTAAAATTTTGTGTCCATACTTGTCATCCAACTTGAGGAAATGCTGCAGATAGTTAAGACGAACAGAGTACCGTGTCGATAGATCCACAAGCATCATAGAGATGTAGTTCATTGCACGGCGTAGAAACTTTCGATACTCTGTCCTTTGGTCATTTTCACTCGCTAACTTGGTCTCTTGTACAAAAGATTAAACGTGTCATTTGAGCATTCTGGTCATTCTGGTCATTCCACATCCACGGCTTGTCCCAGAATGCTCAAATACCAGTTGTCGAACAAAGCTCAGATGCCTCTCCACTGAAGAGTATGATAGGCATTTCTCAGATTAATTAGTTCTTTCCAAAACTATGATAATTTGGGAGTATAAAGAAAACGGTAACTCACACATTTCATCGACCATGTGATGATTTATTGATGGGGTCTTCTTTCGTTACTTGTGTTTTTCAAATTCCCGGACCCTTTTTTTGAGGTAGCGAACCACTCATGCCAAACGGTATATTCTTTGACCCTTTACTTTTGTTAGAGCAATGCTTGTTACCTGTTCGCAGTGACCTCAGGGTCAAGGTGAACCGATATGATTCAGCAGCATCAAGCGCAATATTTTTAGCTTTCCTTGTGTGTTGTCATATTACTGCTGCTCACATGCTTTTCATGATGGGTTCTTTTGTGCTTTCCTTTTTTCTCTGAGTTTATTCCCTTCTTTTTTTACCATATACTCCCTCCGTCCCATAATTCTTGCCGTGGTTTTAGTTTAAGACGGATGGAGTATATGTTTTGTCATTTTGGATAGGGATGCCCCGTTAAAGGAAAAAAAAGTCACCCATCTTTCTTACCCCATTTAACCCGACATGCACCATATTTTACCCTTCATATATTTTTTGAACGTTTTGCCAAGATGGCCCCACATGTCAGGGCACTTGTGGCGTGCCACAGCGATTGTTTTTTTTTTGGACGGTTTCTTCCCTCCTAGACCACATGCTAAGTTCTTTCTCGAATCACTAAGTTAGCTCATTCCGAGTAGAAAAAGGTGAAGTAATATAGCCACAAGTTACGGGGCATTATTCCAAGTGCGATAAAGTAAAGAAATGTAGCCACAAAGTGTACTGTAAAGTGAATGAAAGTAAGTACATAAAAAAAGAAATCACAATACGAAGTGACTTGGGCGCGAGAAAGTAGAGGGGTTGGGAAGAGCATCACAAGACTTGTCTTGGACGCAAGAGGAAGTGCTTTTATTAAAGGTTTAGGGACGCTGTAGATTGATTTGGATATTGCCTCCTCCCCAAGAAAAGCTTAGAGTTCCTCTGTCTCCCGCCGGCGTCGCCGCCGGTCCGCCTCGTCTCCGGTGGCCTTAGGCCTTGTGCAATGCTACGTGTTAGGGAGGTGCTTGGAAAAACAAACTGGATTTTTCTCAAGCACCAGTGCCTATTTTTACAAGAAAGACGCCTAATTAAGCACTTGCCATATATAAATAAGCACCGGTGCTTAAGAAAAGACCGTTTATTTCTCCAAGCACCTATCCTAAGCACCTTGCATTGTACAAGGCCTTAGGGCCATGACGGCACGGTGGATCCCTACCCTTGCCGGTGGGTTTACAGGACCCAGCTACACTGGAGATTGTTGCATGCGGTGAAGCCTTGTCTTTAGCAGAGGACTTGGGACTGCATAAAGTTGTTGTTTTCTCGGATGCAAGACAAGCAGTACAGGACTTGAAGAGTGACAGCAGAGGCCGCTTTGGGGCTATCATTGAGGAGATCCAAGCTAGATCAACAAATTTTACATGCAATTTTATTTGTGAAAGTTGTTCCGTTAATGTAGAAGCTCATAATCTTGCTAGATTTTTCCTTTCCTTAGATCAGGGGCGTTACCTGTGGCTTGTTCAACCCCATGATTCGACGTGTATCCCACACACTGTGGTTTTCGATCAATAAAGCTTTTGCTTTACCGCTAAAAAAAAACTACCAGTAGCGAGCCCATACCCTCCTCCTACCACCCGTGTCCTCTCCTCCCCGCACGACCCCTTCCTTCTCGTCCGCCGCTGCCTCCCAATCCCCTTCCCTTCCGGCGCCTCCCTGATCTACTTCGAGCCATCGCTGCTGAAGAACGGGAAGAGTTCCCTGCGGTGATTGGAGCAACGGGTGGTGCTTGTTATCAGGAAGGCCGGCGGTGCTTGAGATTGGAGGCGGCCAGCAGCACACATGCTTGGAACGGCCGGTGGCACTTGATTTTGGGGACGGCCGGCGGCGTTTGAGATTCTGGGCGGCTGGGCAAGAGCAAGAGCAGGCCATTAACGGGGACCCCTGATGGTGGCCGGTGAGCAGCAGGGTCGAGCAAAGCAATGGTAATCAGTTTCTGAACATGAACCAAAAGAAACTGGGAAAAACTCATTACACCTCCTTAAGCGATGTGATCTGATTACGTTTACATTACTGTTACCATTTGTATAGCCAAACACCTCCTAGTGTAAATTAAAGATAACCGGCAGGACTGTAGCAGTTGATAAGTAATGATAACAAATTAACAAGTACGGAATAGATGAAATCGTATAACCATAACCACACGTGGCAGATAAGTTGGGGCACATGGGCACACAAATAGCTTAAAATAAACAAGATCTTGCATGCTTTCTTTAGCATGTCCGGGCCTCACAATGACATTAATGTGCTGCAGCAATCATCGCTGTTTGCGAAGGTGACTGAAGGAAAAGCTCCTCCTTGCCACTATACTGTCAATGGACATGAGTACAACTTTGGCTACTATCTAGTCGATGGTATCTATTCTCCAAGGGCTTCTTAACATCCGCAACATCCTATAAATCTAGTATGAAAATATACTTGATGATTAATCTAGTGATATTGATTTGTATTGTAGATGTTATTATTTTTCCTGATAATGTTGGTCAATTTTAAGTAATATAAATGTGTGGGTTTACTTCTAGTATAAACTAAAGATAACTTGTTTGTAACAGTTTAGAAGTAATGCTAGCAAATGTAAAAGTACATGAAATCGTATAACCATAACCACTCGCGGCAGACAAGTTGGGGCACATCACAGGGCACACAAAAAGCTTAAATGAACAAGATCAAACAGACCCCATGAATCATGGATACTACGAACAATCCGCTCGCTGCGTGCAATGATTCTTTTGTAGCTGTGCCATCCCACAGCTAGAATCAGGTGCAATGGAGGCGGCTGCAACACTAGGACATCGCCCAGTGCGAACATGCTCGACACCAGGCGAGCACTCGACAAGGCACGACGTGCACAGGCTGCACGCTCATGCTCTCTTATTGAAAGCAAAGCACACAAGTTTAGAAACCAACAGCACACTCAACTCAAAATAGGAAAGGAATGAAGAGAAAATCAGCACAACACCACACCAGTTTATTCGAACAAGTAAGGAGAATATAATTTCATACCAGAGCATCCGTGGTTCCTTCTTTTTCAAGAGGCTGGTGGATCTTGTCGCCCAGGATTTCCATTCCCATCAACGACCATAAGAACCAGACATTTGTAAGGAACTCCCCACCTTCACTCAGGCTCCTGGCATGCAGGTAGCCCCTGCATCTACTGGCAGAATAGCAGAGCATTTCCACCCAAACACCTTGGATCACCTTCCACCTCTGTTCCTCGTCGTGGTGGCCCATGAGCTCCTCCGTGAGTTTGTGTGCATTGCGAACCACAATTCCTTTAAGTGCACCTCGTTCCATGAGAAGAATCTGCCGTGCAATGCTTGCAGGATCATTCTGGTCCTTGAGAATGTGCTTGATATCATCGCAAGCAACTGTGAACAAATCTTGCCTCGTCCCTACCATTAGCATCTCAGGACACACGAAAAGCAGGTAGATCATGTAGTTGGATATCTGTGTGCTGCGTAGGATGGTGTCTCCATTTGGGCCTTGGGAGGATGTGTCAGGGTGGTGGAAGCAGAGATCTGTGGCTATGTGCCACACAAGAACAGTCTCATCGAATCCTAGTTCGAGGCTCCAAAGATGTTGAGGGTGCCTCGACAGAGTGTGTTGCCCCCTGAAATTATTGAATCTTCTGTATGTGGTAGGGTCACTTATATACTCCTTCCACCCATCTCTTATGTACTGGCGAACCAGCACTTGAATCTGGAGAGCCACAGACACGTGCCAATGGTAGCAATGCTTGTTAATGTACTCCATGGGACACATGTAAGCAACAATTTTCATGAAACTGGTGGGATGCTTCTTGCGAGCGCAAAATGACATGAGGTTTTGCTGTGAGACCATGTCTTGCCAAGTAGCAAGTTTGAGTCTGTTCCCGATCTTGTGAGTCATGGGCAGAAAGGGTGCGAACTGCATCACGACTGTAGAGCTGAAGAGGATGTATGATACTCGAATGTCATTCTCATTGTAACCATCCTTGTCACTCTTGGCGAAGAGCACCAGGGAAGCTAAGGCCAGGAAAGGAAGAAAACACATTGAGCAAAAGCCAAGAGGAGTTAGGTATGATGTCAATCTGGTGTACAGGATCCTAAATGTATCCCTAGCCCACACCTGTAAATTGTTGTGCACGTCCCTGTCATCCAACTTGAGGAAATACTGCAGATAGTTAAGACGAATGGAGTACCGAGAAGATAGGTCCACAAGCATCATACAGAGTAAACAAGGTCTGAATGCATCAATCTGATGCAGAGGCCGGGGACTCCCCCTTTTCGGAAAAAAACAAGCATCATACAGATTTGGTCCATCCTACCGGGTATCTCTATCTCTGGTTTTTGGGCACTTTCACTTGCTACCTCCGTCTCTTGTACTACAATCCTCCTTGCCTTGCTTACATAGTCTTCGAGTGAAAGCTTGCATTCGTGTTCTTGCTCTCCTTTCTTCTTTCTTGCTGAAAGAAAATCCCCGAAATAGACAGTGCACTGTGTCCACCATGGAGGCAAGGATCCTTTATCTCTTGGCACGGACAGACTTCTGGAGGCCATGCTATTGAAGCTGGCGCTCCTGAGGGCCCATGGTTTCTGACTGAACTTGAGGATGCCAAGGACAAAGAGCAAGACTGCCGCCTGCAGAAGCTTCTTCTGGCCGGACCACCACTTGCAGAAGATGTACAAGGCGACCGCGACTTGGGACACCAAAGTTATGGCATGCCGCATCCATAGCTCATTATCCTCGAGGCTGTAGGCAGATATGCTGGTCTGGCCGCCGAGGTGAATGAGGAGGATAGGCACCCATGTGAGCTCAAGAGCATCGCTCCCTTCATCCACAGTTAGCTGCTTTTGGCGGTTGAAGAGGGTGGCGAGAGCGTAGACCGCCAGGGCATCCCCGCCTATGTGTGCCATCCACACCAACACCCTCAACTTGCGTAGGTCATAGAGTAGACGCACGCAATTAGAGAAGCAGAGGAAGAACTGGACGGAGAGGCTGCACAAGACAAAGACGCGCAGCTTCCACTCATCCCACCATTGCATTGCGTCCGAGAGACCCATGCATGCGGTGTTTTTTCTTCCTCTCTTATTCACTTGGGTATTTTGGTTCTAGCTAGCTAAGCTTAATTTCTTCTAGGGCGACCCAGTGTGTGGATGACCATATATATACATGATGCACGAGTGGTGCTACTGCCTACTGGCGGCTGCCTTTGTGATGTGAAGTAGCCAAGTAGGTGGCCACCAGTCCATTTCCCCTTTAATTAATCTTTTGGTTAATTATTAGTGGGAAAATTATCCATTAGAACTAAAATGCTGCTGTAACCCGCCCTTTCGACCCCCTGCATCGCTCCCTCCAGGGTGACTCGGATAACCCCTTCCTCGCTGGTCGCTGCCTCTTGTTTGCGGTGATCTCAGGGTAAAGGTGCGCACATATTTTTTCGATACGAGCTCACCTCAAAGGCTAGGGCCGGGTTCCTCTAGCATTTGATATCTCAAGGTAAAGGTGCTATCATATGATTTAGCAGCTTGAAGCACAATATTCTTGGCTTTTCCTTGCGTGTTCATTGTAATGTTGGTACATACTCACGTGTTGATCATGATCACACAATCTTGTTTGCCTTTTCTTTCCTTTTCATTTTTGGGATTCCTATCCCATTGCTTTGTTTTAGAGCAATCACTGGCTTTCTCATTGCTTGTTTGAGGTGCATCTCAGAACCAGATTCAGCAAAGCATGTGCATGCATATATCTCAGTAGCTTGAACCGAAACTTCATAAGAGTATGTAAATGTTCCATCATCTAAACAAAGTAAGACTGAACCCTTCCATCTCAGCTTGCCCCACGATATCTTGGTAACCTACACGCAAAGAAGAAAAGGAATCACCTAATGAGGCCAGGATTAGATCTAGGTGACCACATCCACCGCTTTGTCTCAAAATGCTCAAGAACCAGTTCTCAAACAAAGCTCAGTTGCCTCTCTATTCTATGATAGGCATTTCTCAGATTAATTAGTTCATTCTGCAACTATGTTAATTTCAGAGTAAAAGATAAAGAAAACAGTCACTTTGCGTTTCACACATTTCGTTGACCATGTGATGAATTTCCGGACGCCCAAGAGGAAGGCCAAACACTAGAAAAAAAATGACCGAAAACAGAGGGGAATACTGGCTTAAGGAGCCGACCGAAACCCAGGCAGCCAACACCTTTATTAATCGGGTTTTTTTCGACCAAAGAAGCTCAAGCTCCCAATTTCATTTTCATGAAACTGATAAGACAGCCACCAATCAACCAGCACCTTTACTAACAGATGGTGTTTGTTTCTCAGATTCTCCGACCCTTTGCCTTTATTTGAGCAATGCTTGTCTCTTGTTTGCAGTGATCTCAGGGTAAAGGTGAACCCATAAGATTGAGCAGCTTCAAGCACAATATTTTAGGCTTTTCCTGTGTGTTTGCTGTAATATTGGTACCACTCACGTGTTTGCCATGATGATGTTCTTGTCTGGTTTACATTTCCTTTTTCTTTTTTAAGATCCATATCCCTTGCTTTGTTTTTTGAGCAGTCCTTGTAGTTCCCTTTTATACTTGTTCACAGCGCGGGTCACACAACCTGATTGTAGTTCCCGTGCATTGATGCATGTAGCAAACTACTCCCTCCATTTCTAAATATAAGTCTTTTTTAGAGATTTCAACAAGGGACTACATACGGAGCAAAATGAGTGAATCTACACTCTAAAATATGTCTATATACATCTGTATGTTGTAGTTCATTTGAAACCACTAAAAAGACTTATATTTAGGAACGGAGGGAGTACATAAGAGAGTGTAACATCACCTAGAGAATGTAAGGCTAAACCAGCAAAATACTTGTATTTTCGGCTGTTTGGGTGTGTGTTTTTTCTGAAAAAAGGAAGATTTTATTTCTCCAGGCATCTGCATCAACAGAGACACACATAACAAACTGTTTCTGCACCAACAGTACCATGATAGTGCAAAGTTGCTCTTACCTAAGAGTGAATTACCCCATTATATTTATACCGTCGTTGCTCGGCTCATCGGAAAACTACCCGTCATCATCAGCATCCAGAAACTCGCTCTTCGTTCTTAATCCTTTTGAGGTCTAAACCACAGGAACATTCGTTACTAAACGCAGAAACATAACGGCTAATGATATCAACATCGACCGGCCGACAACACTCAGCTCCATAGAAGAGACGCAGCGCTGGTCCGCCGCTGAGCTCCGGTGCGCAGCCGCGTTGCGATCTGGCCTCCTCCTCAAGCAAAGCTATCTGCCTTTTTTTTTTTTGGGAATTAGCAAAGCTATCTGCCGCGATCTCTGTGTGCGCGCACGAGTGGACGCGAGGCGAAATGACGGCGCATGATACCTCGAGCGAGATATATGCTCCCCTCGCCTGAAGACTTTTCACGCGCGCTACATTATAAAGCAAACCCATTTTCGTTCGCTCCTTCGCTGCAGCTGCGTTTCGCTCATTCTATTCTTTTTTCTTTCTTTATGTTAGGTTTTATTTGTTTCTTTATAGTTTTCTTTTGTTTTCACCTGTTTTTCGTTGCTTTTACTGGTTTTTATTTTACTTTCTTCTTATTTTTCTTTTTCGGTTTCATTGATTTTCTATTTTATAGTTTTCTTCATTTTTTGGTTATGTTATTTTTTTATTATTGGTTTTCTTAGTTTTCCTTTGTACATTTTTCATATGCATTAGGAACATTTTTATTCACATGCTTAAAAAAATTACAAATACATGATTACATTTTTTTGAAAGCTTACATTGTTTTAATTTCTACTTTTTCCACACACATCATAGATTTTTGTATACATCCGAAACATTATTGTATACTCCGTCCATTCGGAATTACTTGTCATAGAAATGGATGTATCTAGATGTATTTTAGTTCTAGATACATCCATTTCCGAGACAAGTAATTCCGAACGGAGGGAGTACATGTTTAACATTTCCCAAATACAAGATTGACATTTTATGTAACCTATATTTTTTACAAACACAAAATTTTAAATGTGCATACAAACGGGAAGACACTCCGGAGCGTTCTCTTGCGGAATCCCAAGGTTTTGGGCTACAATGTGGATTGCAGAGGGGACTGTGCGGCGCAGTGCACCGCTGCTGGGTTAGGTTTTAGTGTGCTGTTCTGAATTGTTACTGCGAACACCTTCAGAAGTTCAGCTGATACTTTGTTTTTGCATCGGTTATTCAAACCAATCAGATTTGTATAGATGGGGATGTAATCCCCTATTGGCGTATTTACAAGGCTCGTCGGCCAGAGTTTATCATGGAAAATATTAACATCTACAACTTGGTATAAATCTAGTATGGAAATATACTTCATGACTGATCTAGTGATATTGATTTTGTATTGTAGATGTTAATATTTTTCCTGATAATCTTGGTCAATTTTAAGTAATACATGTGTGGGTTTACTTCTAGTATAAACTAAAGATAACTTGTTTATAGCAGTTTAGAAGTTATGCTAGCAAAACCATAACCACTCGTGGCAGACAAGTTGGGGCACATCACAGGGCACACAAAAGGCTTAAATAAACAAGATCAAACAGACCCCATGACTGAGTCATGGTTGCTACGACAATCCACTCATTCTGTGCCATGATTCTTGTGTAGCTGTGCCATCCCACAGCTAGAATCAGGCACAGCGGAGGCGGCTGCAACACTAGGACATTGCCCAGTGCAAACATGCTCGACACCTGGCGCGTACTCGACATGGCACGACGTGCACACACCGCACGCTCGCGCTCGATCTCTTATTGAAAGCAAAGCACACAAGTTCAAAAACCAACAGCACACTCAACTAAAAAATAGGAAAAGGAATGAAATGAAAATCAGCGCAACAGGAAGAGGAGGAGAGCACACCAGTTGATTCGAACAAGTAAGCAAAACATTATTTCACACGAGAGCATCCATGATTTCTTCTCCTTCAATAGGCTGACTTTGTATGCCGATCTTGTCGCCCAGGACTTCCATTCCCATGAACGACCATAAGAACCAGACATTTGTAAGGAACTCCCCACCTTCACCCAGGCTCTTGGCATGCAGGTAGCCCCTGCATCTACTGGCAGAATAGCAGAGCATCTCCACCCAAACACCTTGGATCACCTTCCACCTCTCTTCCTCGTCGGGGTGTTCCATGAGCTTCTTTGCGAGTTTGTGCGCAATGGGAACGACATCTCCTGTAAGTTCACCATGTTCCACGAGAAGAATCCTTTGTGCAATGCTTGCTGGATCATCCTGGTCCCTGAGAATGTGCTTGATATCATCGCAAGCAAATGTGAACAAATCTGGTCTCGTCCCAGGCATTAGCATCTCAGGACGAATGAAAAGCAGGTAGATCATGTAGTTGGATATCTGCCTGCTGCGTACGGTGGTGTCTCCACTTGGACCTTGGGAGTGGTGGAAGCAGAGATCCGTGGCTATGTGCCACACAAGGACTAACTCGTCGAACCGTAGGTCGAGGCTCCAATCTAGTTGTCGTCGCAGCTGAGGGTACCTCAACAGAGCCTGTTGTCCCCTGAGATTATTGAATCTTCTGTATGTGGTGCCATCATATATGCACTCCTTCCACCCATCTTTTATGTACTGGCGAATCAGCCCTTCAATCTGGAGGGCAGCAGGCTCTTGCCAACCGTAGAAATGCTTGTTAAGATACTCACTGAGACACTCCATGGAAGTAATTTTCATCAAGATGGTGGGCCAATTCTTGCGAGCACAAAAGGACATGAAACTGTACTGTGAAACCATGTCTTGCATAGAGACAAGGTGGTTTGCGCACCACATCTCGCAAGGCCTGAGCCAGGGTGATAACTGATTCAAGACTGTGCAACTAAACATGACGTATGACACTATAATGTCCTTCTCATTGTAACCACCCT